TGTTTGAAACCGCGGCTGCGGAAACACCTGGATTTAGGTAAAAATCGGATTAAAAATCAAAAGTTGAAAAAAAACTTCAAATCTAGAAAATGGATATATGATGTTAGATCTACTAATTTTAGCCAAAATCCAGTTGAAAACGAGTTAAAATACAGAAAATGAGCTTAAAAGTGGCTGGCGGCCATTGTTAGGGTTTGAGAGAAGCTTTGTCTTGTGGAGAAGATGAAGGATAAATTACAATTTTACCATTTATTGAATAAATCTACCACTACTATAAATAAGTCTACCACATATTATAAATCTACCACTACTACAAATAAGTGTACCACATATTATAAATCACAAGTCTACCAACTGAAGGTTGTTTTAGTAAAGAAGTGAAAAGATTGAATAAATCTACCATTACAATAAATAAGTCTACCACATATTATAACTCTACCACTAGTATAAATAAGTCTACGATTGCGCTAACCATCAATAAGTCTACCGATCACATGATGTATTGCGTTTTTGACACATTCTAACCAATATTTTCAAACGTTTTTCGAGTTTTTTCTATGTCTTTAGAGTCTTTTCAGGTAAAAACACGTTTGGATGAAGTTTAAGGCAAAGAAGCAATGAATAGAAGCAAAGATGCATAAAATGGTCAAAAGTTTGGCACTCGTTGAAGCATTTTCCACCGATGGATCGACCTGAACATTTGACACGAAAGAACATAGATGACCAAATTTTCCTTAGCCAACGAAAACTGATGCTAAGGTGATTTGTGAACTTATCAAACATGTTCATTAGTGCTTGTCTAGAATTCTAGGTTCAAACGATAGTTTAGAATCCTAGGTTGCTAGATAAAGTCTCTGACACCACGACAGTGGATTAGTTATACATTCATGTTTGAGTTCAAGACTGCGCTGAATTATTCCCTGAATAATTGTCTGATTCATGATTTCTGATTTCCTGCGAATATCCCTAAAGCATGACGCTTTTAATCAATAAGTTTACATCGTTTTATTTGCTATTTTAGTTTCATATTGCAATCAAGAATCATTTTTATCATCTTAACTTAATTTCACCTCATACTTTCTTAGTGTAGCACTTGGTCTCTGTGGATTCGATCCCTTTAATAATACTTTGTTGCTGTGCACTTGTAGTAGTTTTGATAGGGTTAAAACCTGTGTTATCATCAAAAAATAACTCTACCACAACTACTAATAAGTTTATCACTCAAAAATAAATCTACCACTACTGTAAATAAGTCTACGATTGCGCGAACCATCAATAAATCTACCGATCACAAAATTAACTCTACCACCACTAGAAATAAGTCTACTGATCACAAAATTAACTCTACCACTACTACAAATAAGTCTACCACATTTTATAAATCTACCACCACTATAAATAAGTCTACCATTGCGCGAACTATCAATAAGTCTACCGATCACAAAATTAACTCTACCACTACTACTAATAAGTTTATCACTCAAAAATAAATCTACCACTACTATAAATAAATCTACGATTGCGCGAACCATCAATAAGTCTACCGATCACAAAATTAAATCTACCACTACTACTAATAAATCTATCACTCGAAAATAAATCTACAACTACTATAAATAAGTCTACGATTGCGCGAACCATCAATAAATCTACCGATTACAAAATTAACTCTACCAGTACTAGAAATAAGTCTACCAATCACAAAATTAACTCTAGCACTACTAGAAATAAGTCTACCACATATTATAAATCTACCACTATTATAAATAAGTCTACCATTGCGCGAACCATCAATAAATCTACCAACCACTTAATAAATTTACCAATCGCAAATAAATCTACCATCATATGAACGGTAGACTTATTCGTTTTTGGCGAAAAAATTTTGCTGTATCATTAATGGCAGTTTCGTAAATACGTTTTTTGTCTTCAAAGGAAATAAGGATAAAACTGGTATAATAAATCTTTCAAGATTGTTTTAGTAATATTCAAAGAAAAGTATCATTTTGGTCAAAAATCAACTTTCCAAGGTTGTTTTTGTAAAATTTCTTTTTTAAAATTGTTATTTTTTAAATAAAAGCGTGTTCGATAACATAACCAAAAAAATCAAGTTATAAGTTTTTGGATGAAAATCCCACATTGGACTTAAAAGGAAACATAGCACAACTAAAACCGAAACAGAGCATAATATGGATATGGATGAGCAAACTAGAGAAATCACTACACCATGGTATGTTTCATATGTTTGCCGAATAGTTCTTTAACGGGCATGGCCTTAAACATCATACAATAGTCACATTTTCGCTATATGGTATGCTCCAATATTACACTTCGAAGGTTCACATACCAATATTATGCAATATGGTAAATGCATTAATTTTTTTTTTTACCGACATACAATAT